TAAACCCTAAGCCCTAATGAACCCCTCTGTGAGTTGGGCAAAATGGCCCGCCTGATGCGCAGAGACCCCTGGACGGCTGTTTATAGGCTCTGAGGCAGAGTTTGACCCGAGCAAAACCATGATTCCTGTTCAGGATCTCATTCAGAAGCAGGCAAAAAGGGTGGCCTCAGCTTACAGGCTGAACTGCAGTGGAGTGAGTAGGGTTTCGGGTTCAGGGTTTAGGGTTTCGACTTTTCCTGGAGCATGTTGCTCCGCGATCCCTAAACGCTGAACTTAACCCAGGAAGCCCCCAAGCTCCCCGATGAATCCCAAACACCAACACCAACACCACCAACACCAACAGCACCAACACCAACAGCACCAACACCACCAACACCACCAACACAAACACCAACACCAACACCAACACCAACACCAACACCAACACCAACAACAACACCACCAACACCACCAACACCACCAACACCACCAACACCACCAACACCACCAACACCACCAACACCACCAACACCACCAACACCACCAACACCACCAACACCACCAACACCACCAACACCACCGCCAACGCCAACGCCAACACCAACACCAACACCAACACCACCAACAACACCAACAACACCACCAACACCACCAACACCACCAACACCACCAACACCACCAACACCACCAACAACACCAGCAACACCAGCAACACCAGCAACACCAGCAACACCACCAACAGCACCAACACCAGCAACACCAGCAACACCAGCAACAGCGCCAACACCACCAACACACCAACACCACCAACACCACCAACGCCACCAACGCCACCAACGCCCACCAACTCCACCAACGCTACCACCAACCCGCCACCAACGCCACCAACGCCACCAACGCCACCAACGCCACCAACGCCACCAACGCCAACACTAACACCAACACCAACACCAACAACACCAACACCAACAACACCAACACCAACAACACCAACAGCACCAACACCAACACCAACACCACCAACACCAACACCACCAACACCAACACCACCAACAACACCAACAACACCAACAACACCAACAACACCAACAACACCAACAACACCAACAACACCAACAACACCAACAACACCAACAACACCAACAACACCAACAACACCAACAACACCAACAACACCAACAACACCAACAACACCAACAACACCAACAACCCCAACAACACCAACAACACCAACAACACCAACAACACCAACAACACCAACAACACCAACAACACCAACAACACCAACAACACCAACAACACCAACAACACCAACAACACCAACAACACCAACAACACCAACAACACCAACAACACCAACAACACCAACACCACCAACACCACCAACACCACCAACACCAACAACACCAACAACACCAACAACACCAACAACACCAGCAACACCAACAACACCAAAAACGCCAACAACACCAACAACGCCAACAACGCCAACAGCCGCCAACACCACCAACAACGCCAACAACGCCAACAACGCCAACAACACCAACAACACCAACAACGCCAACAACACCAACAACGCCAACAACGCCAACAACGCCAACAACACCAACAACGCCAACAACACCAACACCAACAACACCAACACCAACAACACCAACAGCACCAACACCAACAGCACCAACACCAACAGCACCAACACCAACACCAGCAACACCAACAGCACCAACACCAACACCACCAACACCAACACCACCAACACCAACACCACCAACACCAACACCAACAACACCACCACCACCAACACCACCAACACCACCAACACCACCAACACCACCACCACCACCAACACCACCAACACCACCAACACCACCAACACCAACAAGATCAACAAGATCAACACCACCAACACCAACCAGATCAACACCACCAACACCAACACCACCAACACCAACACCACCAACACCAACACCACCAACACCAACACCACCAACACCAACACCACCAACACACCAACACCACCAACACCACCAACACCACCAACACCACCAACACCACCAACACCACCAACACCACCAACACCACCAACACCACCAACACCACCAACACCACCAACACCACCAACACCACCAACACCACCAACACCACCAACACCACCAACACCACCACAAACACCACACACACAACACAACACACCAATACACCACCGACACCAAGGACACCAAGACACCAAACCGCCAACACGCCAACCACGCCAACACGCACACGCCAACACTCCAACACTCCAACACGTCCAACACGCAACACTCCAACACTCCAACCTCCCTACCCTCCAACACATCCAACCGCCAACACGTCCAACCACAACACTCCAACACTCCCCCACGGCCGCCAAACTCCAACAGCCAAACCACGCCCCCCCAACACGCCAACACTCAACACAACTTGTCCAACACGCCCCACACCGCCAACACTCCAACACCCAACACGCCAACTACCCTGACACTCCACCACGCCAACACTACCAAACACGGCCAAGCTACGGCCAACACGCAACACTCAACAGCCAACTCCAACACACCAACACACCAAACACAACACGCCAACACCCACAACCACAGCCCCGCCAACCACACAAACCACGCAGACACCAACACACCAACACAACCAACACCCAAGCACGCCAGCCAACAACTGGGTGGGGGTGGGGGGTGGGCACCACACCCAACACCCAAAACCAACACCAACACACCAACACACCAGCACACCAACACATCCCAACACACCAAACACACACAGGAGGACCAACACACCAACACGCCACGACACCAACTCCCAACACTCCAACACGCCAAACACCCCAACACTTCCAACACTCCAACCCAAACCTCCCAACATCCCAAACACACGCAACACACCAACAACCAACACACCACAGCCAACACACCAACCCCAACACACCAACACCCCAACACACCAACACGCCAACACGCCAACCGCCAACACACCAACCACTCACCACTCCACACGGCCCACAAACTCCAACACGCCAACCACGCCAACACACCAACACCAACACACCAACACACCCACACACACCACACCTCCACACGCCACACTCCCAACACACTCCAACACGCCAACACCCACCACGCCACACCAACACGCCAACAACAGGCTCCAACACGCCACACCCAACACGCCAACACGCCCACACTCCAAACGCCAACTTGCAACCTCCAACACTGCCAACACGCCAACACTCCCACGCCAACAAACACGCCTACACACGCTCAACACGCCACCACTCCAACACTCCACTCCAAACCACACCCTCACCCACACACCCAAACACACACACAACCAACACACCAAACACACCAACAACTGTCAACACTCCACACCTGCTCCAACACACCAACACACCAACACACCAACACACCAACACACCAACACGCCAACACGCCAACACACCAACACGCCAACACGCCAACACGCCAACACGCCAACACGCCAACACGCCAACACGCCAACACACCAACACACCAACACACCAACACGCCAACACACCAACACGCCAACACGCCAACACGCCAACACGCCAACACGCCAACACGCCAACACGCCAACACGCCAACACGCCAACACGCCAACACGCCAACACACCAACACGCCAACACGCCAACACGCCAACACGCCAACACACCAACACACCAACACACCAACACACCAACACCCAACACGCCAACACGCCAACACATCAACACACCAACACGCCAACACGCCAACACACCAACACACCAACACACCAACACACCAACACACCAACACACCAACACACCAACACACCAACACACCAACACACCAACACACCAACACACCAAAACACCAACACACCAACACACCAACACACCAACACACCAACACACCAACACACCAACACACCAACACACCAACACGCCAACATGCCAACACGCCAACATGCCAACATGCCAACACGCCAACACGCCAACACGCCAACACGCCAACACGCCAACACGCCAACACGCCAATACGCCAACACGCCAACACGCCAACACACCAACACGCCAACACACCAACACACCCTGAAAGGTACCTTGGGGACCAAATGAACCCTAAAATTGGGATCACATCCCCTATATTTCTTTAGTTCCTATTGAGGTATATGAACCATAAACCCTTTTTAGGCTCATTTGGTCCCCAAGTTATGTTGAGTTTTTCTTCGAACGTCTCGATGTCGGAAGCCGAAAGGTTCAAGTGTTGACGGCATGGCATGTGCAGAAACATCCACCTGGTCAGCCTAACACCATCTTTGTGTTTACATATCCCTAAACCCTAAACCCTAGACCCTAAACCTTAAACCCTAAGCCCTAAACCCTAAACCCTAAACCCTACCCCCGTTTAAGACCCTGCCCGCCCCCAACAACAAATGTATTCTTCCTTATAAGGTTATTCTTTTTTCTTGCGGGGGGGGGGGGGGTGGGGGGGTGGGGAATTTTCTATTCCTCATTATGACTGCCAAGCCCTGGAATTTAATATCCGAAAATATAGGGGTGCGACCCCCGAACTAGTAGGTACAAGGAGTTCCAGGTTGACCCTACACCCTAAACCCCCAACCCCACCCAAACCCCAAACCCCAAACCCCAAACCCCAAACCCCAAACCCCAAACCCCAAACCCAAACCCCAAACCCCAAACCCCAAACCCCAAACCCCAAACCCCAAAAACCCCAAACCCCACCCAAACCCCAAACCCCAACCCAAAACCCCAAACCCCCCAAACCCAACCCCAAACCCCAAACCCCAAACCCCAAACCCCAAACCCCAAACAAACCCCAAACCCCAAACCCCAAACCCTAAACCCTAAACCCCAAACCCCAAACCCCAAACCCCAAACCCCAAACCCTACACCCTAAACCCTAAACCCGAAACCCTAAACCTTAAATCCTAAACCCTAAACCCTCAACCCTAAACAGCTAAACCCTAACGCCCGAAGCACCCCAAGGCGGAGCACTCAGGCGGCCAGAAACGCCCAGCGGGAGCGGCTCCTCCTCGGCCTTCCGAGGCGGAAATGGGGTTTGGGGTTTGGGGTTTGGGGTTTGGGGTTTAGGGTTTAGGGTTTAGGGTTTGGGGTTTAGGGTTTGGGGTTTAGGGTTTGGGGTTTAGGGGTTAGGGGTTAGGGTTTTGGGTTTAGCTTCAGAAGTTACAATGTTGCAGCTGGTACGGCCAACTCTGCACCATATGCAGCGAAGACGAGCAGGGAGGGGGGGGGGGTTATGATGATGCAGCACAAAAACCCTCAACTTCTTGAGGCTTCAAGCTCGCGAGTCGTACCGCGAACTACACCGGGTGAGCCCCGGTTTAGGGTTTAGGGTTTAGGGTTTAGGGTTTAGGACTTGCGGAAGCCTTACACGAAGGTTCTCCAATTTGCCATTGGGCCGGGGGGATGCTGCGGCGACGGCTCAGTAGTTTCGCGCAAGAGCCGGGACCGACTCCCTGGTTCTTAGTAGGGAATGAGGGGTTTAGGGTTTAGGGTTTAGGGTTTAGGGTTTAGGGTTTAGGGTTTAGGGTTTAGGGTTTCCTACTTACACCCTTAAGGGATTATATAGGGCCCTCATTCCCTCATTCCCTACTAAGAATCAGGGGGCCGATGTTCGGTGATGCGCAGTGACGACGTATCGCTTGTCCGCCTGTGTCATCAACCCTACACCCTAAACCCTAAACCCTAAACCCTAAACCCTAAACCCTAAACCCCAAACCCTAAACCCTAAACCCTAAACCCTAAACCCTACTGTGTCATCAACATGACATCTCAGACGAGCAGAGACTCAAGGTTGATTCTCGTTGAGGGTTTTTTGGTTGTGGTATTTGTGGGGGTTGTGGGATTTTTTGGGCTGTGTTATTTTTGGGGTTTTGGGGTTTACGTATAGGGACCCAATCTTTAGTTGTACCGCTACACGTGCTGCTTGGGGTTTAGGGTTTAGGGTTTAGGGTTTAGGGTTTAGGGTTTAGGGTTTAGGGTTTAGGGCAAGCGCGGAGGGGGGGCTTGCGCGGCGGGGGGGTAGGGGATTAGAGGTGGGTACCTGCTTCATGCTCGCCAGACGGAGGTGCTTGTACGGAAACCTACCGCGTTCCGCCCCTCTGGTGTTAGGGTTTAGGGTTTAGGGTTTAGGGTTTAGGGTTTAGGGTTTAGGGTTTAGGAAAGACCCAACATTTGCCGTTGAGATCCCTCAAGGCTTCCTACACTGTCCTCAAGAAAGGGCCCAAGGCTCATCTTAGGCACCCGTTTCTACAGAGAGACTAACAGCACCCTTCAATTACGGACTCTTTCTCAGGGGAGTAGGGCCTATGGAACCTTCCTTCATTTTGTAAGGCGTGCACGTTTAGGGGTTCAAGGGCTAAACCCAGAGCCCTAACCCCCAAACCCGAACCCCCCGTTTTTGACAATTTGAGGTGGCTGCGGCGGTCTCTCCAGAATAGACGGGGCGAAGGCTGAAAACCCCCCCCTCCTCCCCCTCTCACACCGGTTTAAGGTCCAGGGTTTAGGGTTTGGGGTGTAGGGTTTAGGGTTTAGGTACCCTCATAGGGCCAGGTTATCTACGGAGCCTGTCCGGAAAAGGGCTTAGGCTTACGTGGTTTTGCTTTGGGGTGGGTTGCAAGGGGGGTAGGCAACCCCAATGTTCGTTGGCGCTCTCTCCGCGAGCACTCCCTATCAGGCTTCCGAAGCTTCCATAAAGCTCCTCTCCTGGAACTTTTTTCCCCTAATCTGAGGCTTATAGGGTTCAGAGGGTTTAGGGTTGAGGCTTTAGGGTTAGGGTTTGGGGGCCATGAGTGGGTTCAACTGGGCTGAAGAGCCTCTTTGGCTCAAACATAGCTCTCATGAAGCCCTTCACCTCTGAACCCTAAACCCCTAAACCCTGACCCCTGAACCCTGAACCCTGCAAACCCTGAACCCTAAAGCCTAAACCCTAAACCCTTGCTAGACCCTATCAACCTGTACCCGGTTGGGGTTTCTACAGGCTTTCAGCTTCCTATCAGCCGCCGGCCTTTCAGCTGCAAAAGCGGGGGGGAGGGGGGGGGGGGGGGGGGGGGTGGGGGGGGGGGGGGGGGGGGGGGGGGGGGGGGGTAGGGGGGGGGGGGGAGGGGGGGGGTGGGAGGTGGGGGGGAGGGGGGCAAAAACGTGCTAAAGAAAGGCTCGCTGTCCAGCAAAAAAAGGCTTCCAGGGGACCCAGGAAGCTTCCAGGGGGGGGCAAAAACGTGCTAAAGAAAGGCTCGCTGTCCAGCAAAAAAAGGCTTCCAGGGGACCCAGGAAGCTTCCAGGGGGGGGAGTGCTGGGCCGAAAGCCATTGTTAAAGGGGACAGCGCTCGGCACTCTAGCTCGACGCCTCAGGGGTGTGCTCAGCACGTGGTCTCGCTATGTCTCGCTGGGCACTCCACTGCGCCCGCCTACCCAAAAGAGGTGAGAAGGGTGGCGGGCAGCTTGCGAAGAAAAATTCAATGATGACTTTGCCACGTTGACAACTCCTCGAGACAGGGTGACTGTTGCTCACACTCCATTTGTGCGTCCAAACGTGTTGCTCGGGCAGGTGATGGTCTATCTGGCTCAGAAACGCTCTTGCTCTGCTTTGGTGGACCTCTACAGCAGAGATCGGGCAGAAACACTAGCCATGCGTGCTTCCTTCCAGCTGATTCCCTTCGTTAACATCTCCTATCCACGCCTATCCACGCAGCCAACGGCACAAAGGAGCGCCGCGACAGGGTTGACAGATGAACAGGGGCTACCGTGTTTAGGCGGCTTTCATGATTTGCATGTAGGACAAAAGTTCCTCTTGCACTCATCCTCCTCTGATGAGAGAGGGAGGCAGCATGACTGACTTGGCTATAGAATGCAGTGACAGCGCAGTGACAGCCACTACTTTTCTTGTTAAGGATTTTCGGCAAGGCTGCGCATTGTTTCTCAAAGTGTCGATATATGCATGGATGCAGCCTTTTTCTTCAGTTCAAAACCTATTTCTGATTAGATAGTAGATAGACGTGAGATCTTTTGGTGAAAGCTCACCTGCTGTCAGTTTGTGGGCCAAAAGATGAAGAGGAGAACACGGAGATGGACTACAGCATCCGTCATTTCCTCTGGTGTCACGGAAGCAGGCAGCATGCTTTGCCCGTGTGCGAGGACCAGTCAGGTGCGTCTGTTGAGCCATGCCGATACTCAGCACTGTCAACTCCAAATGGCACGGGTTGGGACTTCGGTAAACAAATCTGAGTCCCTTGAAAATTTGGGGGTGGTGGCAGTGGTGGAGAGTCATTGAGCCCTGTCAGGCTTGCTCCCCTGCGCGCAGCAGATGGCTCCTGAGACTGCACAGGGAGGGGTCTCCGAAGATCTCCGCAAGTCTCCGTTCCGGTGCTGCAAGCTGTATCAAGTCCCTTAAAACTGTCAGCCAAGGCCAGCAAGCTTTCCAGATGGCACTGTCCCTCGGCGTGCGTTGCCGGAAGGGATTTCAGTTGAGGCTCGGACCTGTCGTGATGGCGATCTGCCTTCCGACGAGCTGAGGTACGATGGAGTTGACTGCGCTTCCTTACATCGTGCAGTGGCCGCTCGCGTGGGAGCATCCGAGGCAGTCTGGAGCAAAGCGGTGGAGGGGTTGGAGGGGAGGAAGATGTAAAGCAGGTGGTTGTAGCAGCATCCACGAAAACCATGCACCGAGCATCTCTTGTTGCAGCAGTCAAGGCCACTTTTGCCTGCTCTCCACCGTTAGTTTTTCGCTTCGATGTGCTGCGCAAGAAGTTGATCAGCAGCCTGCTGACAGATGATCAGTGGGAAGCCCTGAAGTTTGTGTACGTTCAGCGAGCCAAGACTAATACTAATTGAAGGCAGCGCCTGGCGTATGAAAATAATGCGTGCAGTAGCCGCAGCAGCAGCCAGCTCTCTTGTTAAGTATTTGCATTCACATCATTTGATAGGATGGTTTCAGTTGCAGCCAACTTCTGCTCAAGCTGTTTTGTGAGAAGCAATCAAGGTAGCCATGGATCGATTAGTGATTTCGGATTTTGGTTTGCTGCCCTCATTGGTGCCGAAAATTTACTTTGAGGGTTTCTCTGAGGCCGGGCAACCAACACATCTAGAGTCTTTGCCTTACTTGGTACTTGTCAGGAGTCGCAGGAGACTGATGTGAATTCCTTGCCTGATGTTCTTTGTGTTTGCACTGAGGTTCAGGGACTGTCCTTTGATTCTGCAAAACAATTTCTGGAGCAAGTTGCATACGTGTTAGAGGACAAGTAGACGAAGAAGTGCCATCGCCTGCGCATTTTCAGCTGTTGAAGAATAGCTTCATCTTGGACTGCCAAGGGTGTCTAATGGACAGTGGCCTGCCATTTGATGGGTGAAGCTAAATCTCAACCCTCAGCCCTGATGCATCGGCTACATCGGCATCTTGGTCGACGTGCCCCCTACAAGGCACACAGTGGGCCGGCGAGCTGCGAAGGTGTGTCCATTGTAAGAAAAAAGCCAAAACCCCAAATCCCAAACCCTAAACCCTAAACCCTCTCTACCATACATATATATATATATATACATATATATATATATTTATGTTTAAACCTTAGTTGAATTGCAGAATACGGCCGCTGAATTTTCAGAATAAGGCTGCTTGATATACAGAATAAGGCCAAAATCAGGCTAAAGGCTAATTGAATGTCAGAACAAGGCCGCTTCCATTTCAGAATTGCAGAATAAGGCCGCTTTCAGAATAAGGCCAAAATCAGGCTAAAGGCTATTGAATTTCAGAACAAGGCCGCTTTATTTTCAGAATAAGGCCGCTTCATTTTCAGAATACGGCCGCTTTATTTTCAGAAAAAGGCCGCTTTATTTTCAGAGTAAGGCCGCTTGTTTTTTCAGAACTTTTTTGCTTTCTCAACGTAATGGGATTCACTGGGTGGGTGGCTGTTTTCTCAGACCCGTAAATAAAACATAACCATAAAACTGCTCGATCCGGAGTGCTGAACCCTAACCCTAAACCCTAAACCCTGAACCCTGAACCCTAAACCCTAAACCCCCTCAACCCTCAACCCTCAACCCTCAACCCTCAACCCTCAACCCTCAACCCTCAACCCTCAACCCTCAACCCTCAACCCTCAACCCTCAACCCTCAACCCTCAACCCTCAACCCTCAAACCCTCAACCCTCAACCCTCAACCCTCAACCCTCAACCCTCAACCTCCCTCACCCTCAACCCTCACCCTCAACCCTCAACCCTCCCCCCCCCACCCTAAACCCTAAAACCCTAAACCCCTAAACCCTAAACTAAACCCTAAACCATAAACCCCCTAAACCCTAAACCCAAACTCTAAACCCTAAAAACCCTAAACCCTAAACCCTAAAACCCTAAAACCCTAAACCCTAAACTAAACCCTAACCCTAAACCCCTAAACCCTAAACCCTAAACCCTAAACCCTAAACCCTAAACCCCTAAACCCTAAACCCTAAACCCTAAACCCTAAACCCTAAACCCTAAACCCTAAACCCTAAACCCTAAACCCTTAAATCCTAAACCCTAAACCCTAAACCCTAAACCCTAAACCCTAAACCCTAAACCCTAAACCCTAAACCCTAAACCCTAAACCCTAAACCCTAAACCCTAAACCCTAAACCCTAAGCCCTAAACCCTAAACCCTAAACCCCACACCCTCAACCCTAAACCCTAAACCCTAAACCCTAAACCCTAAACCCTAAACCCCACACCCTCAACCCTAACCCTAAACCCTAAACCCCAAACCCCACACCCTAAAACCCTAAACCCCTAAAGCCCCATCTTTACGAAGGCAGGGATGGCCTTCGCCTTCTCCGCATTCTGGACTTGGGGAACTGCTCTGGGAGCCTGCTGCTGAGCGCCGCTGCGACCGCTTGCCAAGGTTGAGGGTGTAGGGTTTAGGGTTTAGGGTTTGGGGTTTGGGGTCTGGGGTTTTGGGTTTAGGGTTTAGGGCACGTAAGCGAAAATTAGGATAGGGATATCCCATATATACACCTCCATTTAATGAAGCCCAGTAAAGTAGGACATCCTAACCCCCCTGCAAGGAAGCCCAAGAAGGTAGGATATCCTGATAAAAAGCCTATGCTTATGTCCTTGTTAGTTTAGGGCTTTAGGGATTGAGGGGCTTCGGTATTTAGGGATTAGGGTTTAGGGTTTAGGTCAGGGGTTTAGAGGCTTAGGGATTTAGGGGATTAGGGGTTTAGGGATTTAGGGGTGCAGAGGCTTAGGGATTTACAGTGTGGGTTTAGGGGTTTGAGGTTTAGGGATGTCGGGGCCTAAAGGGATTTCAAGGCTGTACGGTTTTGGGGATGGGTTCTTTAGTGATTTAGGGTTTGGCGCTTGGGAATTTTGGATTTAGGGCTTAGGGTCTGAGGGGTTTATCTAGGGGCTTAGGGATTTAGGATCCAGTTTTTCGGATTTCGGGTGTTAGGATCTAGGACGTTAGGGTTTCAGGTCGAGGAGTTCAGGGATGTGGGCTTTTCGGGGAGTAAGGCACAGTGGTTCAGGGTTCAGGGTTTAGGGTTTGAGGCTATGGCACTGAGGGCTTGCGGGGATAGGCTTTGCTTGGTTCTTGTTAAGTTAGATTTAAGTTACATGGCGCCCGACTACTGATTATTTGAATCAATCAAGTTCAACCCTAAACCCAAACCCCCCAAACCCCAAACCCTAAACCCTAAACCCTAAACCCTTAACCCTTAACCCCCCTAGACCTTATGGGGCTGTCGGTTTCGGTGAGGTGGGGGCCCGATGTCCAGGCCATGTAGCTACAGGGAGGGGGCCCCAGGCGAAGGTTTGATCTCTGGATTCCTTGACAGGTTTAGGGTTTAGGGTTTAGGGTTTAGGGTTTATAGGGTTTCGGTTTAGGGCTTATACGGTCTATATCCCAGGCGTAGGCTGCTAAGTTCTAACAAGTACAGTTGGTCGAATGGTGCTCCCCTCCTTGTATCGATGCAGGTGCCCGCCGTTCCGCGCCAGCTGGTGAAAAAAAAGCTGGGCCGAGCCATCGGACACAGAAAGGGTTTAGGGTTGAGGGTGCAGGGATCAGCACTACGGCGCCCTTAAGTCCCTAAACCCTAAACCCTAAACCCTGCCCTAAAACCGTGAGCTTCAAGGCCCGTCCCTTGGGATGTTCCCCCCTATACTAGCAGTCCTTAATAGGGATTATAGTAACCCCCAATTGTAGTACCCATTCAGGACTGCTAGTATACAGGGAACATGAGTCCCGGCAATTGATTCTAAAGTCGCGCCACACGATCCCTTGTATGACACCGGAAACTCTTAACTTGTTAGCAAGACACCCCGAATGGCCCGGCGAATTTCCCTCCCCTGGCCCCTCCCAAACCCTGCTTCTTCTACCCCCTCTTGCCCAACAGCATCAACGCAACCTCTCCAGTTAAACTCAAGACCCTAAACCCTAAACCCTAAACCCTAAACCCTAAACCCTAAACCTTAAACCCTAAACCCTAAACCCTAAACCTTAAACCCGAAACCCTAGGCTCTAGACCCTAGAGCCCCTAAGCCCTAAATCCATCTATATCGCCATCCCCGAAGTCTAAGGTTGGAACCCATGGCCCCTTGGCATGGTCCCCAAACCCTAAACCCTAAACCCTAAACCCTAAACCCTAAACCCTAAGCCCTAAACCCTAAACCCTCAACCCTCAACCCTCAACCCTAAACCCTAAACCCTAAACCCTAAACCCTGAACCCCTGCTTAAAGGGATTTACAGGGATCCGAAGTATGGGCCCTTACTATGCATAGTGTATATACGGGTTATGTATAACAGGTGGGCCCAAATTGAGGACCCACACTTGGGGACCCTACTCAGGAGCTCTTTTGACTTACTTAGTATCCCCGCAAAACCCGATTATAGTCCCCATCACACAGTTTACTAACCCTACTTACTAAGTCAAAAGGGCTTAAGACCCGAAACCCTAAACCCTAAACCCTAAAGGGGAGGCATCCAGTGCGCGCTCCGATTTGCGTCGAGTGTGCGCTCCAAATGCGTCACCACATCCTTGCAAATACATGCCAAATCCTTGCAAATACCCACCAAGTCCAGGCAAATACACACCAAATCCATGCCAATACAAATAGAATCCTTGCAAATGCAGAGTAAATCCATGCAAATACACACCAAATCTTTGGAAATACCCACAAAATCCATGCAAATACACAGGAAATTCATGGGAATACACACCAAATCCTTGCACCCTAAACCCTAAACCCTAAACCCTAAACCCTAAACCCTAAATCCTTGCAAATCCACACCAAATCCATGCAAGTACCATAAAGAACCCTAAGCCCCAAAAAGGCCCTAAACCCTAGAAAGCCCTAAACCCTGAAATGCCCTAAGCCCTAAAACGCTCTAAATCCCTAAACCCCTAAACTTGACCAAAGCGTAGGAGAAGTACAGTCAATCCTGGAGCCAACCGCGTAACCCTAAAAAGCCCTAAACCGTAGAAAGCCCTAAACCCTAAAAAGCCCTAAGCCCTAGCAAGCCCAAAGCCCTAAAAAGCCCTAAACCCTAAACAGCCCTAAGCCCTAAAACGCCATAAGCCCCAAACCCTAAAAAGCCCAAACCCTAAAAAACCCTAAACCCTAAAAAGCCCTAAACCCTAAAAAGCCCTAAGCCCTCAAAAGCCCTAAGCCCTCAAGCCTAAAAACCCTAAACCCTAAATAGCCCTAAAGCCTGAAACCCTAAACCCTAGAACCCTGAACCCTAAACACCCAAAAAAACCCAAACCGATGCTGATTCTAGAGTGCGCACTGGATGCAAATCGGAGTGCGCACTGGAGCGTCCTCCCACCCTAAACCCTAAACCCTAAACCCCGAAAACCCCCAAACCCCCAAAAATCCCAAACCCTAAACCCCGAAAACCCCAAAAACCCCAAACCCCAAACACCAAACCCCAAACCCCTAAACCCTAAACCCCTAGACCCCTAAACCGCACCTTGAATGGGAGGCCAGCGAGGCCCTCGACCACGAGGAAGTGCAGCCGCTGCTTGAGCGGCTGAAGGACCGGGCTAAACCCTAAACCCTAAACCCTAAACCCTAATCCCCAAGCCCTAAACCCTACGGCACTTACCTGCAGTTCTCTGAAGTATTCTTGTGAACTAAGGGGTTGCTACTGCTAACGTGCAGGCAAACGGAGTGGTGGTGGGGTGTAGGGGTTGGGGCTTTTCAGCGTCTATGGGTTTTCAGGTTTTGAGGGTTTTCAGGGCTGAGGGTGTAGGAGTTTAAGGGCCGAGGGTTTGGGTTTGGCGGTCGACTGGCTCCGGTTTAAGTTCTTTCGGGGGTTTAGGGGGGGGGGGGGGCGGTTCGGCTGTCTGGGGGTTTTGTATTGTTTTTGGGTTCGGGGGGTTGTGAGGTTTGCAGGGTCGCCGGGATTAGAGGGTTGTCTCGAGACTGTTCAAGGTTCGGGGCCCTGAGCCCCAAACTGGGGCCGGTTAAGGTTGCGGGCACTCGGGCTCTATGGCGGGGCCTTTTGGTTTCTGCCTGTCTGCGTGGGTTTCGGACTGAAAGGGCACTTAGAAGTGTTGAGTTCGTTTAGGCTTCCTCCCTAAACCTAAACCGTAAACCCGAAACCCCAAGTCCTTCCTCCATGACCAATAGGTCAGGCCTCAAGAACCGGATAAGGAGGACCCCGCATGATACCAGGGACCCGAGCGGGACCATGTCTACCCCAAATCCAAAACCCAAAACCCTAATCCCTAAACCCTAAACCCTAAACCCCAAACCCTGACCCTAAACCCTAAGCCTTACACCGTAAACCCTAAACCCTAAACCCTCAGCCCTCAGCCCTCAGCCCCAAGCCCAGAAGTACTGAAGCCTAAAGTGGTGAGGGCGCCGCTGTGGGCAAGCCGTATAAACCCCAAGCCCCAAACCTTAAACCCTAAAACCTGAAACCCAATAAAGACCCTAAACCCTAAACCCTAAACCCTAAACCCTAAACCCTAAACCCTAAACCCTAAACCCTAAACCCTAAACCCTAAACCCTAAACCCTAAACCCTAAACCCTAAACCCTAAACCCCAAACCCCAAACCCCAAACCCCAAACCCAACCTTCTAAACCCTAAACCCCAAACCTCAAACCCTAAACCCCAAACCACTGCAAACCCCGAAGCCCCGCGCAAGGAGCTGAAGGCCAGGTACAATGAGATGAAGCAGCCCGAGGATGCCTTTTTTTGGGGGCTTCCGGAAAAATAAATCCCTTAATCCCTAAATCCCTGAATCCCTGAATCCCTGAATCCCTGAATCCCTAAACCCTAAACCCTAAACCCTAAACCCTAAACCCTAAACCCTAAGCCTTACACCCAAACACCCTGATCAAACCCTAAACCCTAAACCTTGAGCCTTGACCTCCAGCTTCCAAGCCCGTAGGAGCCCTCCCAGAAACCTTCAGGTCCGAAGGTCCAGAAAGGGGTCTAGGATTTAGGGTTTGAGAAGGTTTAGGGTTTAGGGTTTAGAAGGTTTAGGGTTTAGGGTTTAGAAGGTTTAGGGTTTAGGATTTAGGGTTTGGGGTTTAGGGTTTACAGTAGGGATTAGGGGCAGAACGGCTTCCGAGGTGGCATAGTTCTTCGCCCGTCTGTGGGACGGGAAGGAAGGGTCGGATCTTGAGGCGTCGAGTCTTTTCCCAAGACGTTAAGTGGAGGGCTTAGGGTTTAGGGTTTAGGGTTCAGGGTTCATGGATTAGGGTTTAGAAAACAATCCTCCCAAGCCGACTGAAGGTTTCTTGTTTCGGTCCATGGGGCATACTTGGAAGCCCTTTTTACCTAGAAAGTAGGGTTAAAAAGTAGATTAAGAATAGGGTTTCTAGAGGATACTAAGTAGACGTACTAAGTCAGAAGCTTCCAAGTAGGGTGTAGGGCTTATTAGGGGGGACGAGGGTTTTAGTCAGAGGAATGCCAGGGGGATGATTGGGGCCTGGGGCTAGGGTTTACGGTCTCATTGTTTGCAAGGTCGAGCCCGACAAGGCCCAAGCGGTCCAGGGTCTAGGCTTTAGGGTTTAGGGTTTAGGGTTTAGGGTTTCGGGTTTAGGGTTTAGGGTTTAGGGTTTAGGGTTTAGGGACCAAGAGTTGCACACCGCCTCGAATCCGATGTAACGCCCATGCGTGTGCTGAGGAGGTTCTGCCCAGTGCAACATGCACTGCCGAACATCGGCAGTCAGAAGGGGGCTAAACCCTAAACCCTAAACCCTAAACCCTAAACCCTAAACCCTAAACCCTAAACCCTAAACCCTAAACCCTAAACCCTAAACCCTAAACCCTAAACCCTAAACCCTAAACCCTAAACCCTAAACCCTAAAGAATCGGGACTCTCACAGTGGTGTGAGGTGACACCTTCGACATGACAGCCCTAAGCCCTAAAACCTAGACACTAAACCGTAAACCCTACAGTACGCTCCAAAAAGTTGGAACATCCTTCTCCCCATACCCCAAAAGGTACTAGAGAAAACCCCAGGCTCGAATCATCATCCTTAAGCCATGTTCCAACTTCTGGAGTTTTCTGTAAACCCTAAACCCTTTCGTTTCGCAGCTCCCCTGCTCAGATTGCCCTTGGATGCCGTCCTGGCCTCACCTCTTTCTATTTCAAGGGTGGGACCTTGGTGACGAACTGTGCCGAACGAACGGAGAAGGAAATAGGGTTCCCTAAAACCCTAAACCCTAAACCCTAAACCCTAAACCCTAAACCCTAAACCCTAAACCCTAAACCCTAAACCCTAACTAAACCCTAAACCCTAAGATTCCCGATGGTCGTAGCAGGACCACCCACGTCGTGCAGCAAATGCTGGAAGACACCCACCTCTCGGATCCTAAGCCTTGAAAAAACCCCCCCCAAATCTCTGAAAGCCCTAACAGCCGAACGCCTAGACACCTCTGAAGCCCTAAACCCTAAACCCTAAACCCTAAACCCTAAACCCTACCCCCTAAACCCTAAACCCTAAACCCTAAACCCTACACCCTAAACCCTAAACCCTAA